AAGTAGGACATCTCTTGCACGTTTTCAAGACACTTTTTATTAGCTTGTGCGGTCTGGGCGATAAAACAGCTCGTTTGTGTGCAAAAATTAACAACTGTCCGGAGATTTATTTCGACGAGGCGATTCGTCTTAGTTTTTCGTGTAGAATATTTGGTCGCGTGAAATGTTGATAACTAAGAAACTAAAAGAAGGACACGTCATCAATTTAAGAGGAAGTTGATGGCGAACTCCAAAAATGTCAATAACGGAGAGACGATCGTCACTGACACAATCGTGTTATCCTTTTCGTATTTCTTGTACATACAGATTTTACGTGTCTGTTGCTCTGTTTTAGCAAATTTAACGGAAAACTACGCACATATATATAATCTTTCTGCAAACTTTTCCGATATCTTTAATTTTCTAAATTCACATAAAGGTACAGCAATGTCTTTTGAAGTTTTCATGAGCGTAGCAAACTCGCGTTCAGTATGTACAAGCTACAGATATTCCCGCACATAGAAAATATTTGTAGGATCTAATTGGAATCCAACCTGATTTCCCACAATAATCATGAATATTTACTTTGACTGACAGCGCGCGTATGACAGGCTAACTAACACTCGAGATGTTAACTTTGAAATTTCTTCTCGTTTTCGTTATAATATTATTACAATGCCGCAAATAATTCTCGCGCGTATTTTTAGGAGCGTTTTCAATTCCGTGCAGCGCCAATACAACGTAAACTTTGCGGAAAAAAGTCAGCATTTTGTCGGTAAAGATTTCGACTCCAGCGTCCTCTTAATTGGCAAAAAGTCGATGTCGAATTGATCAGGCGATTATCCGTAATTAATATCTGCAGCGATAATTGGGTTACGTCGCGAATAACGTGTCCCGATTAGGATTCGCGCCTGACGTTGCGACGTTTCGGTATAAATTGTCGCCTATTCGTGGAGCACTCGCGTCGGGGCGAACGGCGACGAGACGACGTTGCGTTTTGACACGGAGACACCGAGCATGATTCGTATAAATGGACTGCGTCACGGCCGAGAGAGGACGACTCGTGGGAGGCTCACGGCGGGCCGGATCATTTCGCTAACGGTAATGCAGGCGTAAGGAGAGGCCAGAACGTCGCACCTTCCGCGGATCCGTCCGTGAACGACGCTATCTCGACGTGACGAATGAGCAGTTTCCTCCCGGGCTTGTCTCGCGGGGCGTTCTCGAGGAAATCATCCGCGTGCTCCGGGATATTCCCGAATAAAATTCCCAGTCGGCCGCGTGTGAGTGGTGCAGCGTGTGCTCCCAGCTTTTCCGTGTTTTCCCTCGCCGCGTTCCCCTTCTCGTTCGCAAAATTGTGCGTCTAGATTTTCCTGTTGCGAAAACGCAAGTTTGTTTTTCTGTTTCCCTCTTATTTATGCGAGATGAATTCTTTCCCCTTGCTTCTCTCGCAAAAGTGCCGCGGCAAGCGTAGGTAACGATCAAGAGAGTCCGCGCAATCTGAATTTCTATCGCACGTTCTTCAGCGCCGAGCGCGAGTATTGCGAAATCACGAGAGAGAGTTTTAAGTACGACCAAATTTCGCCCGAGCAAAGATCGGCGCTCTCCGCATCGCTCAAAATATACGAATGAAAATGTGGGAGACCTCGGAAATCCCTGTATATCTCTACGTGGTATCTTTTATCGCTGGCTTTAGTGCATTGCGGATTACAAGAGGGATTCGTTACACGCGGCCATGCTCGAGCCTCGTTTCTGCGGGCTCTCTTTCCCCCCCCCCCCCTCCCCCTTCCCC